TCGGAAAACAGTCAAGTGACTTTTTCAGCGAGCCGTTAACGCTGGCATTAACGCAGTCATTGAATTTAATTAATGTCACACCGTGGACGCGTCGAGCCACGACGCACGGTTCAAGGGTTGCACGTCAATTTCCTTCCTTCCACCGAGACTATATCTATTCTATTCTTTTTCCATTCTTTGCCCCCATCCGTACGCTTTCCTTTTGTCGATTCGAGTCTCGTTTACGACAATGTATCGACAAATATATGGGGAGAGGCCTAGTTCAAACCATCCACTTTCGACAAATATATATATTATATTTGTATCGTTGAAAAAAACGATCGAGAGCTTCGAAGCTTTAGATAAAAGGGGAGAGCACGTCATATTGGCAATAAATCTTTAGGAGAACTTTATCACGAAACGCGGCACAATAGAATCTCAATAACACCTAACGCACCTATCACTTTTTTCTTCTTCTCCCCCTCCCTCCCTCCCGAATAATCTCGAATATTGATCCGAAATGTATCACCCGATTCCAGTATAATCTTCATCATCCTCTCGAATGATACCACGATTCACACGTTACCAATCTCGAATCCAACGACGAGGCTGGATGCGATGGATTAATCGACTCGTACGGAAACCGCGTACTGCACATGCTCTTTCACCTCCCATTCAAAGGAGAGAAATGGAAGAAAAACAGAAGTGTAATGAGAATTCCCTTTAGAATCTACTTAGCCGAGGATTATTCCTGGAAATCCTCCTAGGGATCTCCTAGGGAGATGCATTCGATTACTGCGACATATTATTTTTTCCAGGGACTTATTCCTTGACTCGATCTTGCGTCGAAGGAAGGATGCTTTGTTTCGTGGATTGGATTTACGTTTTCGTGTTTGAAATCGAGAGGGAGATGCAATTGATTCGTTCGTGAATTCGACGTTTTAATCTCTCGGAGATACGTCTCGGCGAGGAAGGTCGAACACTGGAAATAGTCCGCATCGTCTACGATGCACGTTCCGTTTCTAATAATAAACCCGATTCCCGGTTATTGGGAATGCTCGGAAAGAAGTGTAATTGCCTAGTCTCCCCGGAGAGGGATATCGCTTCCCCACGGTTAATTACAAATCGGGACGCATATATTAGTACGCTCGTGCCACGTCCCCTAATTACCGTAATTTATATCGCGTGACAACCGTATCGAAATACGAATCACACCAGGAAAGGGAATCGACCAAATAGATTTTGACGGGGCTGATTAACGGGGACGTGGAGCGGCATCGATATCTGGAGCTATGCAATATAATTCGAAAACGGTCGATTTCGCGTCGGTGGAGATAAATTCTCGAGGAAGCAGATTAAAAGTTGTACCGACCGATCGATGGTTTACGAGCGTAATATCGGGGGAAGGGAATTGTTGATCGATACTCGTGAGTCGATAACTCGATGCTGCTTGCAAGCTTTATGGGCGCAATAAGGGGGCGAAGATTAAAACGCGGCCCGGCCACTGTCCGGGAACGAACCCTCGGCCAATTTTATTTTACCACTTTCGAAATGGACGATATAAAAATATTGCGAGCAAGTTCGAATTCTCGTCGTGAATGATATTTCGAAAAAGTTATTAAAGCAATTTTTTTTTTTTTTTTCGTTTGAATTGCCTCGGACCAGAATAGATTCGAACTTTTTAATCAATAGTTTGATAAAAGGAACTTATATTTCCAGGTTATTAATTCTCAATTGTCCAAAATTATCGCGTCGAAAGTTTAAATTATGTTTCTTAGCTACATACCATCTTTCAACTCAACATAAATATATTGGCTTTGATAAAAGGAAAACGATATTTCCAAGACATTAATTCTCAAAAATATCGTCGAGAAATATCCAAAATTTTTATCGAAAAGTTTCAATTGCGCGATTAAATATATTTCATCGTCAAAAAAGGAAATGGAAACCTCCTCCTTACTAGAAAGGAGATATTAACACGAACTTTAACTTAAACTGTCTTAACTATAAGTGTCTTAGCGTTGGATGTAATTTAATGGCTGGAGGCGAACTTCCTACGCAGTATTCGCAGACAATACTGATCCTAAAGCGTACCCCGTAAAATTGCTCAAAATCGTGCCTGTTTTTTTTCTTTTTTATTTTCTTTAAACAATGGAAACGATCCATCAAATTTTTCAACGAAACGATAAATAGTTTATTGTTGCTCGATACGATGTTACGCGTTTAACGAAGGTGCTTTCTCTTATAATGGAAACTACGCGAGTAAAAGTATCTCCCCTTGTTCGTGAAAATTAAATTTTCCTCCTTTAATACGCGATCTTAAATAGTACGGGCAGGGTGTAGCACGTACGCTGCATTTCGAACTCGAAAAGTACAATCAAAACAAGTGATATCAAGTTTTCACACGGTTGCCTGGAAATTATCGGTGGACGTCTATCGATTTACCAGGTCTTGTTTCCTAGCAAATACGAGGAGCACGTCGTGGAACACGCGTATCGTTTATCTCGATGGGAAATTGTGTTACGCGGCTGCGAACGTTCGTAAGGGTGAGTTCCACGTGTTTATCCACGGGGAATTGGGAAACCGGACGGACCGAGATTAGAAAACGTCAGTTACGGGGAGAAAGTCGTTTATATCGATCTGTTTTATTTGTAAATATAAATAGAACGTCGAAAATTATTCGAAAATTATAAAATTATGATCGTCTTTGAACAAAGGATAAGTATGTCGTTATTTAAACTATAATGTTTATCGATAATGTTTAAACGCTGATACTTTGAAAATGGATTAATTTATTTGTTGTATCGTGCATTTCTCTTATGTTATATTTAAAAATTGTTGAATTTTCAATCATCGATATAAATTTGATTTTTCTTGATTATCCAAAAAAAAAAGAAATCTGAATATTGGTTATTCGAAGTTATGGAAATAGCAATGAATTCTCGTTATATTGACTTATTAAGATTTGTACAAATGGGATTCTACTGTAGGAAAAACTGGAAAAGCGTTGAATCAGACAAATGCTTGGTTTGACTTTTGGATTTGAGCGAAACGTGGATTAGTTATCAAAATTTAAATAAGAATAATCTCGCTTTTGTATAATTGTGATTCATTCTTCCATAAACTTTGCGACTCACTCTTCGTTTTTATGAAAAAAAGAAAGATGAAAAATATTATCAGATTAACGTATGTACTAATACCTTTCGAAAAATAATTGGAAGATAAAAATTTGGACGAATGCAACTGAATCTTCATTAATTCCACGATATCTCCTCCCAATTTTTTTACATCAATTTTCGCGATTCGTTAAAAATATGAAAATAACGCCACCTCAAACAAACTTCTACAAAGAATTTCAAATTGCTGATTACCTGGTTGCTCAGAGGGCAGATATTTAATGCAAGAAAAATCGAGACAGAAGAGAAGAAAGGCTTGCTGGAAAAACTTGTTAAAGTTACATTGGAATGAGGAAATGTTCTTAGAAGCAACAGGAAATTAAGATGACCATCTACAGACTCTGAATTACTCATGTTGAGTAATTTTCATCAGGAAAATGCGAACGAATATTACGTATAATATATTATATTACTTATTAATTATAAGAATAAATGTTATATCGTTTAATCATGATAATGATCGTAAAAAAAGTATAAGATAAAATTTTCCCAACGAAAACACTATTAATAAAATATTCTTCCTTAAGATAAAATATGAAAGACAAACTTTACGTATATTTCGTGATTTTCCATTCAAAACATTCATAGATAGATACTACTTTCCTTACAATCGAGCGATATAACATTGAAAAATTTACGTAAAACATTGGATCGAATCTTTATCCAAAACGAAAACTATAAATATTTAAATCTCTAAATTCCATTTCTTTAATCATTTCTCATCAAATCACCGATACTCCCTCGCATCCTCCTTCGACGCAATCCACAAAATCCCGAATCCCGATTTCCCCTTGAAATTAGATTCGCGGGTATCGAAAGAAGCACAGCACGTATTCAACGAATGGATTCACATCGTGTATCGACAATCTCGATTGTCGTGGCGCGATTAAACTACCGATCGATACGATATTTGACACGTGTGGCTCGTTCCACTTTATCAGGAGAAACGTGAACATCCGCCTATCCACGTAGGTGGATCAATCGGTTCCATTGGCCGACCACGCCGGCCAGCTTTGCGCCAACTGTTCCAAACTTTTTAACGATATGCGTACACACGCTCGAAACCAATCTCGATCCTAAACTTAATTGTGTCCGACCACGCGTGCGAATTTACGCAAACTAATTTTGAAAGTCACGGGACGAAAGATAAGAGAGAATTAAATTTAACGCTCGCTTTATACATAATAATAAACATTTCAAGAAGGTTTCTCGGAAGAGGAGAAAGGACACCTCGAAATAGAAACATAATTAACGCGAAAAAAAGATGGCGAAAATAATGGACGTGCGTTATTCCTTTGTAAGTTTACTCGATTCGCACCAACGGATTTCGTAATTAATTTTCGAAATTTTTTTTTAACGATATCTCGTCCTCGTATCCCCTTTGAACGAACACGTCGATTTAATATCGATCCAGCGCGCGATATTTTGTTTGCAATTTCTTCTTGCCGTAAGAAAATATTTATATCGGTAAATGAGATGCGGTCACGAAAGCAAATTAAATTTAATGTAAAGGATCCGTTTTACGTAAAATGATGGTCAATTTGTTTAAGTACCTGTTGAGCGAGTATCTATTCGAACATATAATATATATTCGCGAAAGGATTAAATCTATTTAATCAAGATTCGACGGTGAAAAGTATCATTTTTCACGTAAAACCATTGAAGAAGTGATTTAGATTTATCCTTAGCTTTGAGAAAATACTTGAAAGATACTCGTGAAAGATTAAAAAGTATTCGCCAGCTATTTGAAATACAAGATCCTATCGCTGCAATGAATACGTTTCCTATAGAGTTATCTCTTCCTTCGCTAATCTAAGAATTTCTTTTTCTTCGTCTGTTTTACAGGAAAATCCCTGCACAAATGATGAAAGGTCGGCATCAATTTCGGCGTCGTTTCAGTCTACAACCATCGTCGCTGAAGGAGGGTCAGGAAGATGGTACGACGAAAAACGTTAGGTAAGAAGATTTATACTTTCCAACTTCTTCTTCAAATCTGTCTTATTCGCGCTCGAAAATCCTTCACCTCCTTCGATAAGAAAAAAAGGAATCCTCCTTCCTTTCGTCCCCGAGGTGTTATTACTCCTACTCCTTTTTCTTTTGTTTCAAAAAAAAAAAAAAAAAAAAAAGAAAGAACGAGAGTCACGAGATTCTTTTCACAAAAGTGCAAACTGATTTCAATCTTTCTGAAATGCTAGTTCGAGACAAACAACAACAACAATAACAAAAAAAAGGATTGGAAACGCGGATAAGGGAGAAAAGAAAAACGAATTTCCAAGGTAAACTGCGTATTCCATCGTTCGAGAAACAGTTCTGGCAAGTTTCTTTCGCAATATTTCGCTCCCTCTCCATCCTTTCTCTCCATTCTTCTTTCCACCTCTCCCTCTTCGATCCCCTGACCTCCCCCCTTCTTGACTCCACTCTTAGGCCAGAGCTTTAATTTTGCGGCCAGTTCTTGGCAAAAAGGGAAGCTCGCGCTCTTCTCTTCTTTGTGCACGGGCAAGTAATAACCGCGTCTCGCTCTCCTCCTCCACGTAATAAGCGTGGATGATTACGAAGATACTTAGGGAACAGTTGTTATCTGGTGCATGCAAAAGCGCCGGTGCGCGCCCATCATCGTCGCCGCAATTTCCACCCCGATGCTAGTCGACTATATATAGTATATTCTGAGGGAATAAATGGCGGCTCAGAAATTCAGACCTCGCGTGTACAAAACAACGTATTCAATAACTCGTGTTCCCGGTGAAAGGGGATCTTTAACGTTCATTAGCGCTATTCTCCTCCCTGGGACGTTGTCCCCTTAAATATGAAACGAGGTTTCCTGTCTTATTAGCACCCTCGCGCTCAGGTTACCTCGCTAAAGAAAAATAGCCGTGAGAAAAGACCAACATTTGTTACCAAGTTTTATTTAACTCTTGCTCGTCTAGTATGATTCAATCTTTAATTCAATCCGTTAATTAAATCATTATTAGATGCGCGCATCACGCACTTTCTATCTTCTCACAAATCTTTTTCTTTTAAATTGAATTACTCAAATATAATACACGGCACAAATATTTCGAATATTTCTTATGTTTCTTATAATACTCGTTAAATCAAAGGATATTCTTATCGACGATTTTTTTTGGGGGGGGGAGAAACGAATATTCCTTCACTTTGGAGTGGTGCAAATTTATCGAAATAAATCTCAAAAACGAATATTCCTCCACTCCGGAGTGGCGCAAATTTATCGAAATAAATTTCAGAAACGAGAGGTTGTCGGAGTCGGACAGCGGTGGCGGGAAACACGCGGAAAGTTCGATACGGCACAAGATCGTTGTGATGGGGGCGGCGAAAGTGGGGAAATCGGCGATAATCAATCAGTTCCTCTACAACACGTTCACCCCCAAGTACAAGAGGACAGTGGAGGAGATGCATCACGGGGATTTCAACGTTTCCGGCATACAATTGACCCTGGACATCCTGGATACATCGGGCTCGTACGAGTTCCCCGCGATGAGAGATCTGTCCATCAAGTCTGCGGACGCGTTTATCCTCGTGTACGACGTCCACGACGCCAACACGTTCCTCGAGGTGAAAACGCTGAGGGCGCAAATTCTTAACACGAAGGGGGCGGTGCCAATCGTCGTCGTTGGCAATAAAGTCGATTTGATCGACACCGAGAAACAGGTAAAGGTTTTAACTTGAGAGAAGGGATTATTGTCTGCGACGCGGAGTATCTTCTCGTAAAAATTGATCGAAAAAAATTATTGCTATTTCGAATAACTGTTTCGAGAGTAGAAAAGAACCTAATTCGAGTGATTTCTTTTTAAAATCGAAGTGTATTGTATTTAAAAATATGTTTTTCATTTCTTTTGTATCTTTCGTAAATTGCTCGACATTTCTTTATAGAAATATGATCAGCTGTGTTTATTAAAAGTTACGCATTCATTAGAAAGTCCATTGAGATCTCGAGTCTCAAAATTGATTGTATAAAAATATAAAGATCTACCCTTTTAATTAATAATTAGCTATCGATATATATTAGTGTATTAGTTTTGAATTTAAATTAAAAATTGCACATACTTATTAGAAAGTTTATCTTAAGTCTCAAAATTGATTATAATTGCGGTGTAAAAATATAAACGCAAGGTCTATCTTTTTGATTAATAATTAGCTATATA